ACGGATATCCCATTTTGGTATCAATCCCATTGCCAAGCATTAGGACAGTGCCAGAAATTTATATTATTAGTTGGGGCTTCAAGTTTGTTTCAGTTTTACTCTTTGTTGTCTTGCATTCACCTGTATCTTTTCCCCCAGATGAGCCTGGCGGGCCACCAGGCTTTACTTGTTCCCCCACCAGGCTAATGGTTGTTTATATACAATAAAACATCAGTAATCTTTAGCAGGCAATTTGTGACAAAGTGGTTCAGTTTTTGTTCACCATTTCTTTTGAGTATTGCTTTGTTTGCTTTTCTTTTGAGTTATACTGTATTACATGGTTTATTTTGCAGACCATTTCATTATGTAGATGAGTTTGTAAATTCGATTAATAATTCTGTTCTTGTTTCTCTTTTTAGATTTTCTTTGTTTTGACCTGTTGAATTGTGGCTTGGTCCACTTGAGTGCAGCTGTGTTGCCGATTGGCTATAAAAACAGTGAGTTCTTGGAAGCTCAGGATTGTTGTCAGAGTCAAAAGTGACAAATAAAAGTCATCAGAAGAATCTGGAACCGGTGGCTGATGCTGTTTTTTGTTCACCTTGCTGATCCTTGACTGCACTACTTTGCAATTACCTATTTCGAAACAATAATGCCATTGAATTATGCATATGCAACTCGGTACAGTTTTTTCTTTGACGTTTTATTGACTGAATTTTCTGTCAACTTTTGACATTTTGTTAACACAAAAAACACAGTGGAGAAACTCGTGAACTGCCTTGGCAGCCCTACCGTAGGGCTTAGCTAGGATTTGGGGGGAAAACCGTGTATGGTGTAAGTAATCCATGTAAATAGGGATATATAACATAGGAATCAGATTTTTCATACAAAATACAGCAATTTGTATTCAACAACTTCTGGAGACATTTCTCTTCCGTTTCTGATCCCCAGTTTCAGTCATGTGGCTCCGAGGCCAATTTTCTACCATTTATCGCTCCCTCATCTGCACTTCAATTCGCTTCGTTTTGGCTGTACAAAGAACACTCGCTTGGTTTCATGCATGCGTACAGTTTCATTGTCTAGACCTGTTTGTGCACGCTCATTTTCTGGATTTAAGTGTCATTCTTTTGGAAATGCCTACAAATTAAATAAATAAATAAATAAAATTATTATTATTTTTGATCCCACAAATTTAAGCCCAGCAATGGTTCTCCCGTGTCTTTCGAGAAAGGACGTTCATGTGCACTTTCGAGGGCCGAATGGGATTTACGGTTCTGTGTAGCGGAGAGCCGAGAGGGGAAAACAGCAGTTGGAGGTCTCAGGTAATCAGTCAGCATTTATCACGACGCTCGACTTCATGGAAAAAAACCTTTTGCAGGCTGAACACAAACTAAGTGAACTTCTGAAGCGACCCTGCAGCTCCGATAAGCAGTCAATCAAAATGCCGCTCAGCGGAGGGGAGGCTAAGCACGGGATGCCTTCACAGAGTCTTCACAGGCAAACTGCAGAAAAACAAGCTGGGGCTGTTTGGAGTGCAAATGTCTCTCAGGCATCATTTAAAAACGCACATATATGGCTCGTTTTCATCTCTTTTTTTTTTTTTTTTTTGACTACCTCGCAGCTGAATATTAAATCGTGTTGCATCTTAAAGCAGTCCTTTTATGCGTTTGCACTTTAATATCAGTGCAAAAGTTTCCAAGTGCTCAAAAAAAAAAAAACTGTGACTGGTTTGACAGAATCTGGATCTGGATTACATGATGAAGAAATATGTTTCCCCAAAAATGTTGAAACTTTATCAGCTGAAAGCATTTCAGTGAGAAATTCCTTTTTTTTTTTTTTTGACGAACTGTAATATTCACCAATTTATTTCTATTCATTATTGTTAGTGAAATCAAATTATGAAGTCACTTTCAGATCTTTTAACTATATAAAAGCATGTTGAGAGGAAAGCCATTGTTGAAGGACAGCCAATCAGAAGTCTTTTATAGAAGACATGTTGGTCAGAAGAGACCAAAGCTGAAACTTGTGGACCTGCGTGCAAAACGGTGACCTTGTAAGAAACTACGCCATGTTGAAGCATGGTGGTGGCAGCATTTTGCTGTTTTTCAGCACGGACAGGGAAGATGGCCCTGGCTGTCCTTCCATTCATAACTTTTTCTCCTTATCCTCCCCCTATCCAAACATTATTTTCAACTTCAAACTTCCTATCCACCATCTCTGTCATCTGTCAACCTTCCTTCCTCGTATTCCCATCCAAGGTTTTTCTCCCCCATCCTTCCACCCGCCTGGTTCTTTTTTGTCTTTCGCCTCACCCTCACAATCCTTATAACTTTTTTCTGTCCTTTTACCCTCTCTTCCATTCCAACCTTCCTTTGTTTTAATCTCCTCTTTTTCTAGAGAACGGGGATGTGAGGGTGGCGGGTTTTCCTCTGCCAGCTTGGGATAACAGTCTTCTGAAACAAAGCCCCTCCTACTGGGTATCACAAACCTCCAGTCACGACACGCCCCAGATAAGCCTAATCAGGGGACCAACACATCCGTCCATACATGAAATCAGCTAACTTAAACAAGCCGTGCCTTTGCTCATACAGAGGAGCAGTGTTTTCACCTGGTGAAGGGGGGGGGGGGGCCACTCTTTTCTTACCAGCATTCGGGTAGCCGTTCATAGTGTGACTGGGTTGCAGATGTTTGGATCTGGATTGACGACACAATCTGAGCTACGGGGGAGAAGCACTGAGAAACGATGAAATCTGACGATATGAAAATCAAACCGATAATTAAGATCCTGCGAGACGGTCCGTGTGTGAGCACCAGGAGGCTCGCTGTGACAAGTCGAGCAAACGTTGGTTACCTCGCATGGGAGCCTTGCCTCAGAATTTCAGCTCAAACAGGCTGCTCTCTCCGAGGAACCCACATTGTTGTTGCTCACAATAATCGAGTGAAAATGTTGTCACTGCTGCTCAGGCAACGCAGCGTGCATCCAATGCACCCTGCCCCAGGCGGGTCGAGCTTGGTTCCGTAGATGACTGGCGCCCTCTAGCAGTCGTATCAATGCACGCTTAAGCAGCAACATTTGGCCGCCTTTCCCTACTCCCCCCCACCTCCCCTCCCAAATACACTGTAGATCATTACAAGCTGTCACTCTTAGAGATAAACTCACGGGTTCAGTTTTGGATTTGTCCTCTAGCCACTGACTGAGATTTCCTCTCTCTCTCTCTCTTTCTCCGAGCTGACGGGCACCATGATCACCCACCACTTCATTCCTATTTCTTTGTAATTTTCTGCAGCAGATGCCCTGCATATGGGGAAGAAATCACTTTGGGCCATGAAGGACTTTACTGAAGGAAATCCATGTAATCTGCCACGTCTTTCAGTTAATCAGGAGACTTAATAAGTCATGAAATCGTTCATAGTGTGACTGGGTTGCAGATTTAATGAGCACTCTGCCTAGATGAACAGCCGAGGTGTCTGGGTTGCTGAGGAAACTCTCGTGTGCCTTTTCAGAATGGTAAGGGGGGGGGAGAGGATGCCTTCGAGGGCCGTTGGAAATTTAAAAGTTGCACATTGACTGAGTGGCAAATGAGTCAGGGGAAGAGGAATCCATATGATTTGGACAGTTTCTTCACTGGCAGCGGTTGGTTGTCTATGGGCAGTCGCCCAGGGCAGCCTTAGAGGAAGGGCTGTAATTTGGGCATTTATCCTGCTACCCAATTTAGATCATTTGATCAATTTAACCTCACTGTTTCAGCTGAATCTCTATTGTTTTTGAAGCCACAGAACACAAAATTCTGGCTGAATATTCAGCCATAGTCCCAAGACAGAATTAGTCAAATTTAATTTCAATTTGATGATTTCCGGGCGCTTTTTAACCTTAGTCGAATAAAAAAAATTAAAAAAGCAAGGCTTTGATAAAGCTATTCAAAAGTTGAAAGTCCATTAAACGAAACAGAACCCGGCCAGTCTCGGACACGTTTGAGTAAATTATATTTTGCCTCATTCTACCGTCAGGGTAAGAGTATAAAATAGCCAAAAGGCCTGAGGTGTTATAAATTCCTGATATCATGTTTAAATGTTTATGGTTGAAAGCAGCACTTTTTAAACTGCCACACTGGGAAATCAAAGGCTAATGTAGTGAGCACAGTTCTTTTATCTGTCGATTATTTGGATGAAAAGTCTAAATTGGAGAGCTGCCGCATCTGGCCAGAGCCAAAGTGAAGGTAACAACCGCCTCAATGAGGCTGATGTACACAGGAACGGTTTACAAATGTGCAACTTTGCACAAAATATGGTAAACAAATTATGCAATGTTTTGGTCAGCAGAAAGATTTTTTTTTTTTGAGCCAGGACCTGGTGATTGATCTTAACTAATATTAATGACATTCTATTTGTTTTTACATTTCTTCCTGATGTTAAGAATTCATCGCCACTTTGTGTGATTTCAGCTCAAATAGTTTTCCAGAGGATTCCCTCCCCCCCTCCTTTATATTATAGTTTTACTTTGATTGGCCTAAGTTGTAGATTTCAAAAAAAGTAAAAAAAAAAAAAAAAAGATCATCAAATGCAGTCGAAAAAAAAATGTTACCGGCCCTTTAATCTTGAATTGCATGACTTCATCTTGGTGCAGTGGAAAAATCAAAAGACTGCAAATACCAAAACGCAATAGAGAAATAAGTGACAACTTTATTTTTGTCAATGCTTTCGCCCCAGAGAAAATGACACCCATGGCAAAGCCCTATGGCTCTTCAGAAAAATACAAGAAAAAAAGAATACCATTGCCACGACTATTAGTAAGGTTAATGAATGCTATTCTGGAATAATAAATAATAATAATAAAAAACATTGCCCAAGGCTCTTCGACTCTCTCATATGTGTAATTATTGAGATGGACCGATCTGCACGTGGGCACCAAATTCAATTTTGCTTATGACCTCGTTCAATCTGGAGTGATCGGAATAAAATGCTGTGCGGTTTGCTGCCTCTTACGTGCCCTGCGTGGAAATGTCTGCAGAGAGTCGGAGCGTGACAGTTACACCGCTGCGTTTGAGGTCGCGGGGAGACAAGCCGGTGTGTTGACACAGGTAACCGAGGCGTGGCCAGGCGCACAGGTGGGAGAAGAAGAAGAAGAAGGAGGGAAAAAAAAGCGAGCTCATCATCTTGCAGCCGCTGTTTCTCTTCCTGCCCTGCTTTGCAGCGCTGCGCTCCGGTTATGGCCCCGAGTGGCGTGGGGAAGTGCTCGCTCTTCTTCTACCTCGCCCTGGCGTTCGACGCCGGCGGCCTGGCGGTGCTCCTCGTCGGCATTTTCGGCCACCCGACCGCAGGCGGCCGCTTCTACGGGGACTTCCTCGTCTACACGGGCTCCGTCATCATCTTCTTCAGCCTGATGTGGTGGGTGCTGTGGTACACGGGCAACGTGCACCTGTACGCGCCGGGGCGCAGGAGGGACTCTCCGGACGCCGGCCTCACGCAGTGGGCCAGGAAGTTGTCCGAGGGGTTCTCCAAGGGCGGCGGCGGGAAGCCCCTGAAAGCGGCGGAGGACGAGGGGGAGATGAAGAGGAAGAAGACGGGTGGAGAGGTGAAGGAGGCGAAGGGCACCGTGCGCTTCTCTGCGCCGCCTCGGATTACATGGGAGTCCGGCGGCGGCGGCCAGAATAACGAGGGCTTCGACGGATGGAGCGAGGGCGCGTCTCCGGCTGATAAAAACCTGGAGCCGGGCGTCCTGACGGTGGCGGTTCTGCAGGCGGGGGACACTAAAGCAGAGAGGCTCCTCTGACACAACACGGTGCGTATTTGTCTCGCCAATAAGGCCGTGAGGACCTCTGAAGGTCCGGTTCCAACCAGGACTGCATCGATTATCGAAATAAACAATTAAAAAGTCTGAACTGCCGATTCCGATTTTAGCGATGCTGATTTTTTCCCCCTCTCCATTAAATGTTGCTAAACATAACAAGAAAGCCCACCGATTAGAACTTTTACCCATTCTTCTTTGCAAAATACCTCAGTTTCGGCTATGTGGTGGCAGTCGTCTATAAACAGTCATTCTAAACTTTTGCTGCTGATTCTCAGGTTTGAACTTTGACTGGGACTGAGCTTTGATCTCAGTCCTGCCCTGCAGTTGTGTTTACCTTCTGCCACACACCTGTATTGAATATGTTGGTGATTAACAGGCGTCTGCAGCACTTGATGGTCATGCAATCAGCTGCTCTGGAATAGAGGGACATCTAAAACATGCAGAGCAGGGGGGCCTGAGGACTGGAATTGAGAAGTGTGGGTCCAGGGTCATTGTCCTGCTTGAAGGTGAACTTCTGGATCACTCTTGAGTCTTTGATAACTTTCATCAAAGACTCATATCCTGGACGAAATATCATTTCGTCCAGGATATTTGTCTCCCCTGATATTCTCCATCAACTCTGAGCAGTTTCTTTTGTCACTGTTGACGAAAATACAGCATTTTCCACACGGCTGCATAATTTTAGGAAAGCATGCAATTACCCATGATCATTTCACTTGAAATTAATAATCAAATGCTCAGAAGTCCCAATGTTGTTCTGCTTGTATGTTATTGACAACCTAACATGTAGGTGAGATAACTTTACCACCACCATCCAAATAATTTGTGTGCTTACATTTAACATTTTTCTTGCCACTCTTCCATAAATACCTTCTGGAAGCAATTGGTGTGTTTTTTTTTTGTTGTTGTTTTTTGTATAAATAATCCTCGTTAGCTTGTCATGGATTCTTCAGCTACATCTAACTGGCCTTTTTTTTTTTTTTCTTCGTCACCGCTGCCATCCTCGTCCTCTCGCAGATTGTCATGGCAGCCCTCCTCAGGCTCGCCCCGGTCTTAATAAGGGAAATATCTCACATTATTGGCAGGGACTAGATGAAACTCATAGTGAAGCTCGTCCTGAGAGGTAATCACCCCACCCACAGGTACACGCACCTCTCCCGCCCCCCCATCAGCCCTCCAAGGGGGCTTCACAGCTCTATGCTCATGAATATCTGTAATAATCTTTTTTTTTCCCCTACCTTTTGCCCCCCCTCCACCCGAGAGGGGAGATCTTCAGTGACCCATGGCAGTTTTTAATTAATGAGCCTGACCGCTTGTGCTCACCTTCACACTTCAGCAGTATTTTAGCTCTCAGTTTGCTTGCGAGTGGCCGGCCAGTCAGGCACCCTTTGGACATAAAGGCGCAATTGCATTTTAATGGAACTCTGCAGGGCTTATTGATCGGCGGGTGTGGTGATTGGGTTTTAGCCGTGGCTGAGCCGCCGAAGAAATGCGGGGATCTTATCTTATTCTGCTTAATGCCCCCTGATGCCATCCCACTTGCTCTAAATGGGTGTGGTCTTTTTTTAAAATTTTTATTATTATTACAAAAGGGAAAAAAAGTGCCAAACCACAAAATAACCCGGGGTATCTGCCGAAGGTGCAGTTTATTAAATTCCAGACATCATCCAGATGGTGACGGCGTTACTTTGTAAGTTCTGATCACAATGTTTCAGTAAAGTGGAGGATAACCTGTGAGTGTATCATTATCCAGAATGAAATGAGTCCTATACTGATGTTGGGTAATATGACACAGAGTCGGGAAGAAGCCATTAATCCAAAGGCAACATACAAAGCCAGGTTTGTAGTTTTATTGTTTTTTAAAATATAAATAAAAAACAATATATGTCACAATAGAGGCGTTATTAATATCAGTAGATGATACACTTGATTCAGTAATTTCACTGACTGCACAGCATTCTGGGAGATGTAAGTGAAGAAAAGGCTCTACTGGCTCAACTGCTCACGGCTAGCTAAGCAACTTTGGTGGCGTCAAGAAAGTCGCTCGCTCGTTGGTTGCCATAGCAGCAACCTGCTGGGTAGCTTGCGCAGCAGCAGTTTCATGTTTCGCCACCATGCCTCGCAACAGCTTAAAAATGAACAACAACTGCAAGAAGTGAAAACTGTGGCTAAAACAGGACAGGTCACTTCACTGCAGACGGCTGCTTCCTCCCATTAGGTCGCATGTTGTCGCAGAGTATCAGTGCTCACTTCTTTTTATAACCCAGGTCCCCCGCCTTGGAAAAACACTGCTAATGTAGCATCAGCTTACCTCTGTTGATTTTTTTCTGAATGAGAACGTATCAGACGTTTGGCAAAGCTGGTTAATCAGTATGTGTAATTCATCATTGCTCAACACAGAGAGAGGGATTGGTCAGGATTTGATGCTGATTGCTTCATGCTTGCATGTTCACATGTTCTGAGTTACGGGTGTGCTGGTGTGAAATCAATTATTCAATGTTTCTGTGAAGCCATGCCGTACTACGTTGATTCCTGTTCTTGATGTAAACGTCAAGACTGTCTGAAACAAAGATTTAGAAAATGTTACTTTTCTTTGGTATTCATCTTGAGATCTGGAAAGCAAACTAGAGCAGCGTTACACTAAGTAAAAAAAGAAAAAAAGTAATATTGCATTATTACCAATAAACAGTAGTTGTGATTAGCCCACATTATTCTAAAATTGTTATTGTTAAACCTAAATCTTGACACAGTTGACAAAAGGGCGGCACATGCAAAATGTCTAAATATCAAACCAAAAGTGCTTGTTTTGTTTTTTGTTTTTTTAAATCGAAAGCCTCACTTGATAATGCGAAGCACTTGTCAATCACTCAAAATGACGACTAAGGTTGTTTGTTTTTAGAAATAAAGGTTGCAGAAATTTGTAATGTAATACTGCTTGTCCATGAAGATATCCAACATTTAAACCTACATCTAAAATGTGCAAAATCTTTCAAATCTGTGCTTTCCTCACATCGGTGGACAGTTGAAACCAAAGGCTTGCATACAGTGAACACAAAGACACGAGTAGACAGAAATGTCTGACATGCTTTCTCTTATTAGTATAATGGCATTCAGAAATTAGAAGAAAAAAACAAAAAGAGTAATTCTAGCTGACCTAAAATAAGAGACATTTCAAATGATTTCACCTGATATAAAGTTAATTTTTCTCTTGACCTGTTTGGTCGCTAAAGCCGTTTCTTTTTTTCCCCTTTTGTTTTCCCTGTGTGAAGAACTTGTGCCGAGAAGTCATAACCTATCACAGTAACTTTTTCTTAATTTTTTTTTTATCCACGTTAATGATTTTTTTGCTGGTACCAAGTTTTTGCATCAAAAGTAAATCTTTACTATGTTTCTATTTATTTTTTTGTTGCCTTTACAGATGGCGTTGCCGGTGCTCCTGGACATGAGCTACTTCCTGTTTTTTTTGTTTTTGTTTTTATTTTCCCCTTCTCCCCTGAGATTTCAACAGACTTTTAACGTTTAAACTTGTGGGCGAAAGTCACGTCCATGAGAACGTCTTGCCCGGTGCAGAGGAAAGCTGACGGGTGAAGAAAACGTGCATCTCATTTTCATGTTTGTCTGTGTCACTGTATGTATATTTGTGTCTAAATTATTTTTGGGAATAAAGTGCAAAGACATTTAAATGTGGTCATGTGACTCTGAGCGGTGGACGCTGTCTGCTTAACTGAAGGAAGAAGGTAATCCTTACCAAAGTGTCACCTTTCTGATGTCTGTAATCACAAATAAATGTTTGGGACGTGACACACGTGGATCATTTCTTTCTACTTTAGCAGAACATGCCTGGCTGAGCTACAGCTGGGTCTGTAGGGGAAGGAGAGCAAATTCATCGGCTGCGTCAGAATGTCTCTTATCATTAAGGAAACGTATTTCTCTGGTGTCAGCGGGTGTTTTTTTTTTTGTTTGTGTTTTTTTTTTTTTAAATGAAGATGTAGATATAGAAGGAATGTAAGCTGAATGTTTAAGCTCTTTCCGTGTCATCTGTCACACCGCTCGCTCCTCTCGGGTGTGAGGTGCCAAGCGAAGAATGGAAAGAATAAAACTAACTTTCACCAGTTACAGCTCTTGGATCGGCCGCTGCGTGTGGTTTTTCCTCCTGGCCGTCCTCCTCGACGCGGTCGGCCTCGTCGTCTTCGTCGCCGGGATCGCCTCGCCCGTCAGATGCTGGGACTTTCTTGTCCTTTCTGGGCCGCTGATCGTGTTCCTCAGCCTGGTGTTTTGGATTTTGTGGTACATGGGGAACATAGAGGTGCCGACCGAGGAGATGGGTCAAGTTTGAGACTCCTCGTCGTCCAGCGAAAGGTTCTGTCACCTTTTGAGGGAAACCGGCTCAGCTCCAGGTTCAAAGCCTCTGCTGTAAGATAAACGAATGCGGAGAAAGCAGCGTGTTTGTTAAACAAAAGTTTTGCTGCTTTCCTTTGTTTGGTTTCAGGCGCTTTTGTGCTCGGAGTCTCGAAGGACAGACGTATGGAGCCGTAATCTGAAAAGATGTCTGACTGTTGAGAAGGAAAAGTTCTGCAGAGCTTCAGGCCAATAAAGGTGCAATCATTAAGACTCTTTTGTATTGTGACAAATAGGCCTGGCTGATGTTTACTCCAACTTTCCCCCAGAAAAGCCAAGATGAAAAGGAACACACAACAATAGCAAATTGCTGTAGTTATTTTTAATTAGCGTTATTTTTGAGTCATTTTGATCCCAACTAATATTACATTACAGCCATTTGGGTTTCTTTTGTATTTCGTCTTTTGGGTCCTTTTTTAAATTCACATTGTCCCTGTTTGATTAGTCCTTCGGCTTTTTATCTCAAACTTGAGTTCTTTGTAAGCATTTCCTTTGTTTGGGGTCCTTTGCATAATTTTTGTTGAAATTCCACCCCTAAGCTGCCCTTTTGTATCTCTATTGCTGCGCTGAGGCTCTTTGCTGTCCTTTTTGTGATGAATGTATTTCACAAATTGTCCTGATTTCTGTGATGTTGCTTCTGTACAAATACTTGATGCGTTTCTCAAATCTGAATGTGAGCGGTCAAATAAGTTTTTATGATTCCTACACAACTTCTTTTTTTGTTTTCTCATTCAGTCTGAATGTATTTCCCCTAAAATATTTATTTATTTTTTTCACAAAAATAACGTAATCTAGCACTAAATTTCCTTCAAAGAATCATATGGCTTTTCAAATGGAAACAGATCATAGTATCAGTTTGCCACAGTTGCTGGCAAACTGATACTTTTGGACATGGACGAGCTTTTGGATTTAGGTGACGCAGTCAAAAGACGTACGAAGAAACCCATCTCTACCTTTGGAGTCCACGCAGTCCTCCACGAAGGACGACCACGAAGCCTACATCAACCAGGTCCGTTGAGGGACACGGACCCTCCATTTGGACTCACCCCAACTGTTAGAAAATGTACGCAATGTAAAATAAATAAGATCATAATTAGTTTATCAAATCCAGAATGCTATTCCACTTTTGCACTTTTCTCTCACGCGTCATTGTGTTCTGTGTAAATAAACATCTAATCCCAATGAATTTTTCTAAGATGTTCAATCCTAAGACGAAAGAAATGTTCTATAATCTTGATCCAACACTGACGAGCTGAAAGCTTACCATCCTAGCTGATGACTTGTTCTCTACTAAAGAGACTTACTTACTCTTATCCTTGCTATGTAGCATCCCCATCAAATAAGTCCTTCCTTTGTGTCTCCTGTTGGCAACACGTGGTCAATTATTATGTCTGTTTTACTGATTTTGTACTTAAGGCTGTTGTTCCCGATCAGTCTCTGTGGTGATTTTGGGGCTGTGAAATCTGAGTATTGGTCGCTCAAACTGGTTCAAAAGGAACCAGTCAAACCGGGTCACTTTAGTTGCAGACCACTGAGCAGCGTTGTGTCACAGAAAAGAGAATATGGAAACTGATTTTTTTTTATTTTTATGTGGGTTTATTTATTGAGCTACTCATGTGCTCAGGTGTTATCTTTATCTCAGGTATGTCATACAACTTGTTTTTCACCAGTATGAACACACCCTATTTACAGGGCGACTGATATCTGAGCTCAGCACCACAATAATCCCCTCATCGTCCATTGTTTGGCACAGCAGTGAAGATACAATAACAAACTAACAAGAAGACTCAGGACTAAATATGAATGGGTTTATTATTAACTTGGAATTTTATGTTCAAGTTAACAGTTTTGTGTAATTGCTTTTAGCTCCAAGTCTTTACCGTAAACCATTAAATACTCAGATCTCTTTTGAGAAACATTTGGGTTTCAAAGAACAGGTCATTTATCCTCGCATGAATGAGTGTTTGGGAATGTGTCAAGACTGCATTACTAATTCAGAAACCTCAGCCAGCAAAGCGGTTCCAGAAAGGGTTCCTTTGAGCCGGTCGTCATGAGGCACCAGAAGGTGTCACAATCCCCCACGGCCTGCCGGTCTCCAGGTGTTCAGGTTCGGCCTCACGCCCTTCCCTCCGTCTCTCTGTTACACCGCCGTGGCCGACTCGCGCGGACAAAACACGCCTACGCCCGGCCCTGGCCGAACACGACACCGTCTGGCGACAAAGGTGGCAGAGATTAGGTTCCGCCAGGGCAGTCGGTGTGGTGTCGAGACTCCTGTCACGGCTGCCGCCACTTCACACCGGAGCAAAGGCACCGTGGTGGCATGTGAGGTGATGGAGCTTCAACTGTGGAGGCAATGCTAAGATGTGTTAAAGTTTGGAAATCAGCCTTTCGGTCTGATGCTGAGGAAGACTTTTTGGAAGAAGAGAATCTGTCCTATTTTTATGGAGTCATTTGTAAAGCCTGTTCAAGGAGATTTATGTATCTTTTTCAGTATTAGAAATGCATTTAAAACCTTTGTTCTTTTGCTTGGTATATATCAACTTATCTGCAAGCTACTAACCAAATCGGAAATATAGTCTATAAAAGAAATGCAATCTAATGTTATTAGACTGGTTGAGAATGTAAAAGTTGTCAGCCTCTCTCACGACTAAAGAAACGGGCACGATATGGGTAGGTCTACATTCTGAGGTGAAATTTAGAGAGAAGATGGGTTCATTTTATCCAACTACACTGAACAATCAACACCAGAACTGCTAAAGGACCAACTGCCTTGGTCTGGTTTGCTGCTGTTGTTTCACCTCCCTCATAAAATCAAATCCCGACTGAATTTTTTTGTTTCAGAGCTTCAGGCGTCAAAACTCCAGGCCCGTTAAGTCTGCTTAAATATCATGTCAATCAAGTCAATGCTTGTCCCATCAGTTTCTTGAGAACTATCATGGAAATTCACGCACAATCAACAGCGGCTCGCATTTTTCTTTGCGCTATTAACTAGGAGTTCATTACAGGTTTTTGGAAAATTGTCAAAAACTTTCTCCCTTGTACTAAACAGCTGCCTCAGACTTACTTGATGTCAGGTTATAGTTCATGCTCTACACAGCTCCAGGTTACTTCCCGGTTAGTCAACTTTGGATTACCACAAACACTTTTATTTTTATTGCCAAAAAATCACAAAAAGAATCACAAACTCCTGGAGGGGTGGAAAAGATGTTCAATGATCATAATAATGATAATTCATTTTAAGAATTCATTGAACAGGTTTTATCAACACATTCTGGCACAACTGGTCCTTTGAGAGCACTCGTGGTCTGGATTTGGCCCAAAATACAAGAGAGTTTGACCGTCCTGTTGGGACGCTGCTGGACAAACGGCTGGTTCATTTGTCCCGGATGTCTCTCTGAAATGGGTTTGTTTTAGCAACACGCTTTGGCTGTTTTTATTATCTCTCAACCTTTGGTTGCTGTTTTTTTTTTTAAGAACATAATTTATCAGAGGTGCAAAATTTCTCATTTCTGGATTGGTCAGGCAAATCTCCTTCTTGGTGGATTGTCATGCTCACTAAACCCAACTCCTCCAAAACTGAAGCCATATGACGTCAGTTCTCAGCTAACGCACGCAAACACAGGAGGACGTGACGTCACCAATCCCGTCTCCACTTTGAGGGCTTACTTTTGTCCCTTGCTGCGCGAAGCAGCCGTGATTCTCAAAACACACACACACCTTCAGCACACCGTTAAACTCTTCGTTTTTTATTTGTATTGAACTGCATTGGCTTGTCACGGTTCGTGGGTTTAATGCGAGCTTTTTAAAGTCCAAACCTAGGCGAGAATGTTCCGGGGAGAAAATCCAATTACATGTCCGGGATCAACCCTTTTTTTTTTTTTTTTTTTTTTCTATAATTGTATTCTTTAATAAATACTAGGTGGCAGTAATTTATTTCCTAATTACGGCTCAGTAGATGTACTCGGTAAAGCTTGATATGGACGTCCATTTCCTCCGCACGTTCCAAATTAATTACGGAGCCGTTCGACCGCACTTCCTGGAAATTAACTTCCCGCTTAAGGATCTAATTTATCCCCGAGTTTCCTTTTCGCGGAGCGGACGCCGGTTCCTCAACGCGGTAATGAGGCGCTGCCTCGCTTAAAAGCTTTTCCTCAGGCCGGTTGCCACGGAGACCTGCCGTTTCTGGAGACGGCCCTCCCTGCCGAGCAAGAAGTGGGAAGCGACCGAGGAGGAGACGATTCTGTGGCCCAGATGCAGAGCCGGCTGGCGGGGGAACTTTGTGGCACGAGGCGGAGCAGAGACGCTTGTCGACGTCAGCAGTTCAGCGGGATTATTAGCATTTACTAGCTGAACATGTAGAGCTGCCTGACGTTTCATTTTACTGCGATTTAACTGGGGTGAAT